AATATATATATATGAGCAATATATATATATATGAGCAATATATATATATATGAGCAATATATATATATATATATATATGAAATCAAACACAAAACGATTCTGATCGTTGTTCAAATTTACATCAAATTCATTTAGTGTACCAAACAAAATGAGTTGGAAGCGTGATGAAGGAACTGTCACAGCTGAAAATCCTGAAGACGTTGCAAATCTCTTAAACAATCCAGCCATCCAGCGTCCACCACCACCTTCTGTGACCCCATAAGGGATATCAACATCTCACTTGATGACGTTCAACTGGTCCAGACAAAATTCCAGAAAAGTTGCTTAGATGTTGTGCTCCATATATTTCCTCATCCCTTGCTGATCTCTTCAATAGAAGCTTAACTTCCGGTAATGTACCAGTAGCCCGCGTGCAGGCCCAAGGGAGCAGGCTGAAGGGAACTTGATAGTGGGCCTGCAAGCAAGGCCCGGTATTTTGTACTTTCCGCGTTCGCCCACGAACGCGGCATTCTGATTGGCAGTTTGCTGTTGGATTCTATAATTAGGTCGGTGATTCATCACAAAGGCATAGACAAAGGCTGTCGATAAGCTTAAAATTCGAAAATTGATCACTTTTTTCGATTACAAATGGAACAAGAACAGACTGTTTATTGTTTACTTGAAGGAAGAGATGTTTTTGCCGTTATGCCAATGAGGATTGCTTGTCGTGAGGTGTTGGAATAGCAAAATTTAATATGAATGGGGTATAAAACTATAGTAACCTTTACTTGAGTTTCATTAATTTCAAACAGACTTGATACGTTATATGTTCCTCAAGAAAATTATCTTTTGGTTGATGTTGAGATGCAGTTGCATGTAAGCCTATTCAAAATACTTTGCGATTTACAAGGCTTTGCTGAGAGAGCAAAAGAGAAGACGGTATTAAATTGCCGTTTGAAACGAAACGATCTGGACTCTGAACGCTCTCTTCTTTTGTAGAGTTATCACCAAATAAAATAACTGAAATAAATTTCGTACTTTCCGCCGCCAACAAGAATTGCACACACAATCTGATAAGTGAGACAATTTATTTATAACAATGGCGACAGCGAAGCAACATTATAAATGCTGATGTGGTCGCACGACTTCTCTCACGATTTGAAGTTTGAGACTGGTTTTCTGTTGAAATTCGTCTTAATTTGCCTGTTCCGATTTTAGTTGAAAATGAGCACTTGTAAATTTGGCAATTACTGACTGCGTTGCTTGCTTTTTTGGAATTTTAACACAGGCATTTACACATTGTTTCTATTTTGAATATTAAAGCAGAGAAAACCCCGCAACATTTTAATGCGAGTTTGTTTGTTAATATTTGGGTTGCTGTCATTGGTTCTTTTTTGACAATTGACGCGCGAATGGGGCGTGTTATGAAAAGGGGCGTTTTACAAATTACCGGGCCTTGCTTGCAGGCCCACTATCAGTTCCCTTGGGCCTGCACGCGGGCTAATGTACCAGCGGAATGGAAAGTTTCTAATATAATACCCATTCCTAAAGGTGGTCAAAAGAACGAAGTTTCAAATTATCGACCCATATTTTTACTTCCAATTGTATCAAAAGTGCTCGAGCGTTGCATATACGATCAATTGATCAACCATGTCTCAAGTGAACTGCATAACCTCCAATATGGATTTCTCAGGGGGAAGTCTACGACATCACAATTATTAAAGGTTCTACACGAGTTTGGTGAGTCACTCGACAAGAGAATCCAAACTGATGTCCTTTATCGATCTCGATTTCGCTAAAGCGTTTGGCAGGGTTGATTATCAGCTGCTTCTCAAGAAACTTAGTAATTTTGGAGTTTGCGGAAACTTGCTGAGCTGGTTTCATAACTATCTATCAGATCGGCAACAAAAAGTTTCCATTTTAGGAAAAACATCCCGATCAATACCAGTTTTATCAGGTGTTCCTCAGGGTTCAATCCTTGGCCCTTTATTGTTTCTTGTATACGTGAATGATCTGCCTGAAAAGTCCACCACATCGTCTGTTGCTCTGTTTGCTGATGACACAAAGTCGCTCTGTTTGCTGATGACACAAAGAACAACAGATGACGTAAAATCTCTCCAATGTAATCTGGATGGAATCAGGCAATGGTGTCGGACGTGGCGCATGAACCTTAGCGAAACTAAGTGTGGAGTTCTTAAGGTAACAAGGAATCTCAAACCCGAGGAATCTGAAACAGATCTTGGCGTTCTCATCAATGCAGATCTCAAATGGAACCAACAAGTCTCTGCTGTATGTGCGAAAGCAAACAGAATGCTTGGGTTCGTAAAAAGGTACTCCATTAAGATCACGATCCTCGTACACGTACCGCACTTTATAAAACGTTACTACGAAGTCGTTTCGCGTACAGCTCCCAAGTCTGGTCCCCACAGTCTGTGTCTTTATTCCTCGAAGTCGAGAAGATTCAAAGACGTGCAACGAGATTGATCCTATCGCTGCCGTTTAGATCTGAAACTAGTTACCAGGAGAGACTATTGAAAACAGGTTTACTTCCTCTGTCTTACTGGCACGAGTACCTGGACTTGGTGTATCTCTTTAAGGCAATTAAATTGAATGACTCTCAGATTAGTATAGTATCAAACGATCATATTACCAGGCGCGCTACAACTAACAGTGTAACAATAAAACTTTGCAGAGTTAACCTTTAACTTTTCAGAACAGTTTTTATAATAGAGCTCCCAGAATATATAACTCCCTACCACCATATATTCGAGAAGCAAGCGTTACTATCGGCCAATTCAAATCTTACCTCTTAACTTATTATGAAGCAATGACTAAATAAATATATAACATTAATGCTCCACAAACATTTAAAAGTATATGTGTCAAGTGCCACTCGTGTCGTCCGTTGTCCAGTCTTGTGGATAAAATGTGTTGTAAATAAATTAATGTAATATATATATATATATATATATATATATATATATATATATATATATATATATATATATATATATATATATATATTATTAGGGACCCTGTAAATGGAACATTAAGCTCTGTAGGGTTAACCTGTCATTTATGACTAAGTTTGTAATATATATATATATATATATATATATATATATATATATATATATATATATATATATATATATATATATATATATATATATATATATATATATATATATATATATATATATATATATATATT